AGGACGACCTCAATATCCAGGTGGACCAACTTCACCGCGACCAGGATTCCCCGGAGATTCTAATTTACCAGGACAACCTGGACAACCTGGACAATCACCATTCCCAGGTGGACCAACTTCTGGAAGACCAGGATTCCCTGGAGCTTCTAATTTACCAGGACAGCCAGGTCAACCTGGACAATCACCATTCCCAGGTGGACCAACTTCACCGCGACCAGGATTCCCCGGAGATTCTAACTTACCAGGACAATCTGGACAACCCGGTCAACCAGGCAGACCAGGACAGCCAGGTCAACTAGGACAACCTCAATATCCAGGTGGACCAACTTCACCGAGACCAGGATTCCCGGAGATTCTAATTTACCAGGACAGCCAGGTCACCTGGACAATCACCATTCCCAGGTGGACAACTTCACCACGACCAGGCTTTCCGGAGATTCTAACTTGCCAGGACAACCTGGGCAACCCGGACAACCAGGTAGACCAGGACAGCCAGGTCAACCAGGACAACCTCAATATCCAGGTGGACCAACATCTGGACGACCAGGATTCCCCGGAGATTCTAACTTCCCAGGACAACCTGGGCAACCCGGACAACCAGGCCGACCAGGACAGCCAGGTCAACTAGGACAACCACAATATCCAGGTGGACCAACATCTGGACGACCAGGATTCCCCGGAGATTCTAACTTCCCAGGACAACCTGGGCAACCCGGAGAACCAGGCCGACCAGGACAGCCAGGTCAACTAGGACAACCTCAATATCCAGGTGGACCAACTTCACCGAGACCAGGATTTCCCGGAGATTCTAATTTACCAGGACAGCCAGGTCAACTAGGACAACCTCAATATCCAGGTGGACCAACTTCACCGAGACCAGGATTTCCCGGAGATTCTAATTTACCAGGACAGCCAGGTCAACCTGGACAATTACCATTCCCAGGTGGACCAACTTCACCACGACCAGGCTTTTCCGGAGATTCTAACTTGCCAGGACAACCTGGGCAACCCGGACAACCAGGTAGACCAGGACAGCCAGGTCAACCAGGACAACCTCAATATCCAGGTGGACCAACATCTGGACGACCAGGATTCCCCGGAGATTCTAACTTCCCAGGACAACCTGGGCAACCCGGACAACCAGGCCGACCAGGACAGCCAGGTCAACTAGGACAACCACAATATCCAGGTGGACCAACATCTGGACGACCAGGATTCCCCGGAGATTCTAACTTCCCAGGACAACCTGGGCAACCCGGACAACCAGGCCGACCAGGACAGCCAGGTCAACCAGGACAACCTCAATATCCAGGTGGACCAACTTCTGCACGACCTGGATTCCCCGGAGATTCTAATTTACCAGGACTGCCAGGTCAACCAGGGCAATCACCATTCCCTGGTAGACCAACATCACCGCGACCAGGATTCCCCGGAGATTCTAACTTGCAAGGACAACCTGGACAAGCTGGACGACCGGGCCGACCAGGACGACCTCAATATCCAGGTGGAGCAACTTCACCGCGACCAGGATTCCCCGGAGATTCTAATTTACCAGGACTGCCAGGTCAACCAGGGCAATCACCATTCCCTGGTAGACCAACATCACCGCGACCAGGATTCCCAGGAGATTCTAACTTACCAGGACAATCTGGACAACCCGGTCAACCAGGCAGACCAGGACAGCCAGGTCAACTAGGACAACCTCAATATCCAGGTGGACCAACTTCTGGACGACCAGGATTCCCCGGAGATTCTAATTTACCAGGACAGCCAGGTCAACCTGGACAATCACCATTCCCAGGTGGACCAACTTCACCACGACCAGGCTTTTCCGGAGATTCTAACTTGCCAGGACAACCTGGGCAACCCGGACAACCAGGTAGACCAGGACTGCCAGGTCAACCAGGACAACCTCAATATCCAGGTGGACCAACATCTGGACGACCAGGATTCCCCGGAGATTCTAACTTCTCAGGACAATCTGGACAACCCGGTCAACCAGGCAGACCAGGACAGCCAGGTGGACCAACTTCACCACGACCAGGATTCCCTGGAGATTCTAATTTACCAGGACAACCTGGACAACCAGGGCAATCACCATTCCCAGGTGGAACAACATCTGGACGACCAGGATTCCCCGGAGATTCTAACTTACCAGGACGACCCGGACAACCTGGTCAACCAGGCCGACCCGGACAGCCAGGTCAACCTGGACAATCACCATTCCCAGGTGGACCAACTTCTGGACGACCAGGATTCCCTGGAGATTCTAATTTACCAGGACTGCCAGGTCAACCAGGGCAATTACCATTCCCTGGTAGACCAACATCACCGCGACCAGGATTCCCCGGAGATTCTAACTTACCAGGACAGCCTGGTCAGCCAGGACAATCACCATTCCCTGGTAGACCAACATCACCGCGACCAGGATTCCCCGGAGATTCTAATTTGCCAGGAGAACCAGGACGACCCGGTCAGGCTGGTCGACCTCAATATCCGGGTGGACCAACATCATCTCGACCGTCATCTGTAGATGGTACTAGTCAATTTACAAGGCCTAGTGTTTCACAATTTCCATCTGGTTCTTCGCCTGGACTTCCAGGATTTTCTGGCTCACCGGATAGTTTTCGACCAAGTCAATCAAGTCGACCTGACTTGTCTAGTAATTTTACTCCAGGACAGCCAGGTTCATCCACAACAAATAAGTTCGATTTATTGGGCGGTGGTAAGCAACCAAGTGGTACTTCTGTGAGTACTCCTACGCAGCCAACTAACATGTTTTGTAATTGCTCTCCTTTCGATATAATTTGTGTGAATAAATGTTCAGAGGTTATTAAATGTGAGGATTCCGCATCAGGATGCGATGTATCCTCAATTGATGGTAAAGATAAGCCAAATTTTCCAACTTATCCTACTCCATCTTGCGGGGGAGTTGGTGAAAAGGATTGTCCTTATCCTCCAGCGGGACTGAAACCATCTCCGGAATTCACTTACCCTCCAAGTTATTTCAACACAACTCAAAAGAATGAATTTTCTTCGGGTAAATTTCCCTCTTCACAATTTCCCACTCTTCAAACTTCAAGTTTAGGAAATCGACCTTCTAACAATTCTCTTCAAACATCCAAAATACCGAATTGCGGTTTTCCTTTGGCCAGCTTTTGTGGTCCGGATGGCTTGCCACCTATTTACGTTGTCCCATATCCCGTTCCAATCGTTCCTGCTCCAGGAAACTGTCCGTGCTATTTAGTTTCTCCGACATCAAACGAGACCTCTGAATCTGCTACACCACCTCCGTTCACGACCCAGTCTCCGAGTTCGCATTCGCAAGGATTCGTTCCCCAAGGCGTTATTGGTTATATACCGGTCGTATTTTTCCCATTTTGCCCCGAAAATCACACCAATCCAGATATGATTCAACCTTATTTTCCTCAAGCTTTCCCAGTACCGTATCCTTGTCAACAGTGTCAAAATCCGAACGTTTTACCCGGTCAACGTAAATCTTCGTTTTCGAAAAGAAATCAATTATCCGACATAAACAAATTCACAGATCCAAATTTTTACCCATCATTAGCATTTTCAAATTTCCTCGAGGAAAGTAATAAAAACGTGTCACGTGACCCTAGGAAAAAACGAATTAAAATACGAAGACGAATTTCTCGTAGACAACCCAATGTTGAACCATCTTCCAGTTTCGAGCAAATCATGAAACAAGGTAACATACAATACAGTCAAATAGTTAAATCTCCCCACAGATCCTCTAGGATATACGGTCAAAAAATTCATCCCGTGACGTAAAAAAAAAAAAAAAAAAAAAATAAATATCTATATCCTTCATTAAAATGTTTTGGTAACGATGACAAAATGTGTGAAATGAAAAATGTAATAAAAAAAAAATTATGTTATAACAATTTTAATTTTATATAATTTCTTTCTCTCTCTCTTTCTCTTTCTTTCTTTTTATGTAATGTACACTTTTGAGCGATTGGAAAAAGGATGAGAGAGAGAGAGAGAGACAGAGAGAAAATTTTTTTTTTTTTTATATATATATTTCAAACATTAAAAAATATAAAATCATTTAGCCATAATTTTTTTTTTTTTTCTCGCAGTTATTAATTATTATTATTATTATTATCGATTATTTTGTATTATTTTCCTACTACTACTACTTATAAATTATTTCCATTCGAATAAAAAAAAAAATATTATTATTATTATTATTATTATTATTATTATTATTATTATCATTTGTAAAAAAAATTAATTTAATCATAAATGTAAGTTCAAATGTAATGGCGAATGTAAAAAATGTTCCTCATCGATTTCTTTCTTTTTTTTCTAAATTTAATTTAAATAAGGAAAAATACCACGGTGCATAATAATAATAATAATAATAATAATAATAATAATAATAATAATAATATCGAGTCATATATTGTAATCATTTATCATTTACTTTTTTTTATGTATAAAAAATAAAAAAATAATTTAATAAGTAAAGAGCCTGAGTTTTATTTTATTTTATTTTATTTTTTGTTTGAAAATTTAAAAGGAAAATTATTATTATTATTATTACTACTTTATTTTTTTTTTTAATTTGAAATTTATTTTCAATTCGTTAAAGGGAGGAGGGAGGAAGGCGTGGGCGGATGGGTGGGGGGAATAGAAAAAGAAAAATAATAATAATAATTTCAATAATTAAAAAAATTTATTGATTATGTAATTTAATTAATTAATTAATTAATTTTTTTATTATCGAACAACCAAATTTATTTAAATGTTTATATGTAATAATTTAAAAAAAAAAAAAAAAACATGATATCCTTGACACTTTTTCCTCCTCCTCCTCCTCCTCTTTCTCTTCCCCTTCCTTCTCCTTCTCATCTTTTTCCTTTTTTTTTTTGTTTCTCTCACTTCTTTAAGGTTATTTATTAGGCTCAATCAATCAATATTGTATTGAGAGACATCGTCAATCAACAATTCCCCCCCTCCACCTCCCCACCTCACCTTTTAATCTTCCCTTTTTCTCCCCAACCCATAGTGTCCTTTTTTATAAAGTGACAAAAGACAAAAAAATTTAACATTTTAAAAAATCACATCTACTGATAATATATATATATATTTTTTTTTTTAATCATTTCGAATTTTACCTTGTCAGGATCGGACCAAAGCAAATCGCATAATAAACCCTGATCGGGTACGTCTGTCGGTCGCATTATGCGCCTAATTTGTTCCATAGATTGTAAATCTGGACTCAAACCTCCATGACAACAAAAAATTTTTTCATCAACAATTGCAGCCACTGGGAGGCAATTAAAACAGTCTGTAAAGGTTTTCCATAATTTTATATTGTATCTTCTTTTACCTTTAACACAAAAAAAAGAAAATGAGTGTTAAAATCAAACAACATCTCGACAACAACAATCTCATAATTTTTTATGCAGACAAGTCTTTACTTGTATGTAAAAAATATTTCAAGACTAAAACTTTTGTATGATTTAATACTGAAAATGTCTTCCATTACTACTTGACACTTACACTCATCATAAAATCCATATATCCTGTTAATGCTTGCACATTCATGATTCCCTCTGAGCAGGAAAAAATTTTCAGGATACTTGATTTGTAAGCCAAAAATAATAATTAAAATTGGAAATGTAATTTTTTTTTTTTTTTTAAGTAAAACATTTTTTTTTTTTTAAACGCAAAAGATCATAATATTGACCGTGAATATCTCCTGTTAACAACAAAAAATTAGCATTGTGATGGAGTTAATACAAATTATAATCTCTTTCACACATAATTTTAAACTCTATACATAAAAATAACAATTTCACATAAAATGAATGCAATTACTTTAAACAACATACCACATATTTTTAAAGGAGCTTCTAATTCCAATAATATTGGCTGAGACAAGAAAATTTCTCTGGACTTTAAACACAGACCTCTGATTTCATTTTCTGTTAGTTGAACATTTTTTCCTGGTCTGGCACCTCTTACTACAAAAAATAAATGTTTTTTTTTTTTTGGAAATTTTTATTAAAGGAAATAAAAAAAGTAATTATAAAATTAAATTATAACTTATATGTGATATATTTATACTAAATTTGACAAAATATAATATATATTAGTCAACTTCTTAGAATTTAGTATGACAGGAACCGTAAATTTGACTGTAACAGTAAATACAATGTAAAGCACTGTATTAAAATATAGTGCGCAATTAATGTCTAAGAGTGTAATAAGAATGAATGTAAACAATGACTGTAAAATTTAATAAATAATTTTAATTTCTATTTATTTGTAAAAGCCAATTTAATTAGATGTGCATTTACTTTTGAAAACTTAAAATACAACCTTGGCCTATTAGGGAGGGGCAAAACTGTGCTAATTTATTCAAATTTTAAAATAATGGATTTAATTTTAAAAGATAAGAATTTAATTAAATAATATTTATAATAATTTATCTTAATTTATAAAAATTGTAAACAATTAATAAAAAAAACTAAGGCCTATAACAAAAATAAACAAACCTAATGAAATTATTAAGGAATATTTACCTTGTAGTAGTTGAGTTATTATATTGTCTATATTTAATTTGTCGGTCTCCGCCATTAGTTGCAATCTTTACTTTCACGAAAAACTAATAAGATTGCACTAAAACACAAAGATGTAAAAGATATTTAAAGATATTCACTGAAATATAAAATTTTATTCTACTCAAGAGAAATAAAATGGCGGCCAAGACAGTTGTTTTTGACGTCACCAATCTGACATTTTGATGCGTAAAGAAAGGCAATTTGATGCGAAATAGTTACCAAACAATTTTTTTAAAAATAATTGTACTTAGTACGACAAAATCAAGTTTTAATAATATTTTTTTAGAAAAGCACAATTTAATTTATCTTAAAGTGTATTTTTTTAAAATTTTGTGCCCGAGTTTGCATACAGACGCCGATGATAATTATGGTTTAAAAAAATCAAAACAAAACATTGTAAACATAAAGGTTTTTAAACACAAATAACATTGTAAATTGGTTTTAAAATTTTAGGCGTGTAACAGCGAGTGCTTTTAAAACTTTGTTTTAACAATAATATGATATCTAGTAGTTTGAACTTAATAATTATTTAAAATGAGTAATTTATTTGATCAAATTAAACTTCTTTTTGAAAATCAATTGTATAGCAACGTTGTAGCTTTGGTAAATTTTATTTTCATTTAAAATTGAAATTTAGTAAATTTTTTCGATAAAAAATTATGAAATAATTTGATATTTAAAAAAAAAAAAAATTTATTTAGTTTTTAACTAAGACTAAATGTCAAAATAAACTCTTAATATAAAATCAATCATAGCGTTCACGTTCCATATGGAATTTAACTACGATAATTTTTTATTTATTCTGTTTTTTAGTCATCTTTTGCCCTTTCAATTGCCGATCATAGTTCGGAAGCCACATCCCCTGAAAAATTCCAAACATACGTATACTATGGAAATTCTTTGTTTCATCTTGGACAGTACAGAAGAGCTGAAGCCATGTATAATAAAGCCTTACAATTTCGAAAGGGATATTTTAAGTACATCGGATCAAACAAAACATCATCTCTAAAAGAATTTATGCCAGACATAGGTAATAAAATTATTAATATTTTACATTATTATTGTGTACTTATTTCAAACTTTTTGTTTAGATATAAAGTATCAAATTCATTTGTGCCATATTAATTTAAAACAAAATCAGGAAGCTGTAACAGTACTCGAAACAATACCTGGTAAACAAAGATCTCCAAAAGTAAATATGGCTTTGGGTAAATTGTATCAGTTAGGTGGCATGGAAAGATCATCAGTATATGCTTTTAAGGAAGTTTTAAAAGTAAGTAAACTTATAAGAAAACAAAAAACTTATTGTTATTAAATGAAAGGCACAAATAAATAACGAAAAATTAAACGAAATTTTTTTTTTTTCTTTAATTTTAATAATTTGCAGGAGTGCCCTTTAGCACTGGAAGCCATAGAAGGGCTGTTGAGCTTAAGACTGAGTGGAGCAGAAGTTCAATCATTTGTTATGGAATGTGCAGCACAAAAAGGAATTAGTAATATTGATTGGTAAGTTAGTTATTTGCAACAAACCAATGTATAAGATATTAACTTGCGACTCGTTAAAATAGACGCTATATTAAATATAATCTTTATAGGGTAATGTCATGGATTAAAGCTCATGATCAAATAAATAGTAGGGAATATGGTCATGCAATAAATACTTTAAAACAAATGGATAAAAATTCTTGCCTGAAAAATAATCATAATGTTTTAATTATGCTAGGAGAAACATATTACAATGCAGGGGATTCTAAAAATGCATTGTCTGTTTTACAAAGAGTAATTTTGTTTGCTTATTTTTAAAATTCCTTAAAATTTAATAAATCATTTATTTTCATTTATATTTATTTGATTTTTTTTTTATTAGGCTCATTTAATTGAACCTCAATTGGAAAAAGGATTGGATGTGTTGGCATCACTTTTAGCTAAAGAAAAAAGAATTTCTGAATTAGAAAAACTTGTACCTACTTATATACCTCTTAGAGAATATGGTCCTGAAACTTGGATTGCAATGGCTTATTATTTATATGTTAATAAAAAGACGAGCAAAGCTGCTTATCTGGCACAAAAGGTTTGTTTTTTTTTTTTTTTTTTTACTGTGTAAAAGTTTTTGATGTAAAATTTTAAGTTATTTTATTTTTAGGCTTGTTTATTAAATCCCCGAAACGTGGAAGGTTTACTATTGAAAGCGGCCATTTTTCTCGATTTAAAAAAATATCAGGATTCGGTTGTACATTACAGAGAAGCCATGCATCTTTCTCCGTATCGTTATGAAGCCTACGAAGGTTTGGTTAATTGCTACATAGCAATGCACAGATTGAGAGAAGCTTTGACGGTGGCATCTGGAGTTTGTAAACAATTAGGACAAAATCCTAGAACGCTAACAGTTAGTAAAATTATTTTTATGTCGAAAATTCTCTTTTCGTACAATAATTATCAACACGCTTGTTAATCTAATCATTTGTATTTTCAGTTATACGCATCGGTTTTAATGAAAGATTCCGTGTCTGTGTGTAAAGCCAAAGGTCTCCTCGAAAAGGCTCTTCAGCAAGATGACAAATTTTTACCGGCTGTTTATTTATTAGTCATTATACTCGATCAGGAATTAAACTTGGAGCAAGGAATCGCAATATTAGAAAAACAAATTCAAATTCAGCCCAATTGTAAACTTCATCAAATGTTGGGAGATTTATATTCGAAAAATCATCAACTTGAAAAAACCACAGAGCACTACATGATTGCTCTACAGTAATAATAACTTTTTTACTAATTATATCATTAAAGTTTTTTTTTTTACTAAGGGAGATTACCGAAACTATTTAATCGTACGTAATTGCACTGTTTAGAATGGATCCGAGCAACCGAAGACTTCAAGAGGCCATGAGTAAACTTAATCAAAACTGCAGTAAATTAGACACATCCTATTACGTAGCCGTAAATGAAGAAGATAACATCAACACCACGTACGATTTAGGAGATTCGGAAAATGAAGTAAATTTCAAAATAAATTTTTTTTTTTTAAGTTAACAGTATGAGACAAGGAGGCATCGTAAATTCAATGCCTCCTTTAGTCATTTTCAATGCGACTATTTGTTTACTTTGCCTATGCGAAATGTTATTTTAAATTTTTGATTTATTTTAATTTATTAAAAAAAAAAAACTAGATTATATAAATATTATATAATAAATTTAATTTAATTTTTAATTTTTTTTCTCAGAATGAAGGAGAGGAAAGTGAAGTTGATGCAGTATGGTCAGATATAGATATTGGATTAAACAGCCTGTAAAATTTAAAGTCAATCAAAGGTAAATATTTCGAAAACGATATTACTTCATTGCTAAATGTACTTTGTTTAACTTGAAAAAAAAAAAAAAAAACCTTAGATGAATTTATTACCATCATCAACTGCGGAAGAAAAAGACGATACACCTCAAGAACGGGAAGAAAAAGGCGATTTAACAAAAGAACAAGAACAGGAAGAAATATCCGAAGTCAGCGATAAAGAAAAAGTAAAAAGTAAGAGAAATCAAAAAGGTAGTTTAAAAAGTGCAATCAAACCCAAAAAAGAACCACCGGGTTCGACAACGACCGAAATCCCGATGAAGGGAAGGATAATGAATACAATCGCCGAAGAAACAAATAACGTGGAAGTCTCGGTTCAATTAGAATTGCCATCCGATAAGACAAAAGACACAGGGTATTCAACTGTTAGCTTATTCAGCACCGATTCTCAAAAGAATGTCACACTTCCAGCGACAGAATTTAAAAAAATTACAACTGTCGAAAAAATATGTCCGAAAAAAGTTGAAACGGTCGTTGTGAGCGAACTGACACCCATAATAACAATTAAACGTCAAGGTAATAAAGAAACAATTGAAAAAAAAACTCCCATTCTCAAGCATACAACGACAACGACAATTGTTAAAAAGACAACTTTGACTACAACCGAAAAAACAACAACCATAGGAAATCCAAATTCTTCAAAAAATGAAAACGAACAACAACAACAACTCGAAAAAAAAATTCATAGAAAAGACTAAATTCCAATATTAAATATTTAACTTAATTATAAAAGTATTATATATTTTTTTCTTATTTATTTATTTCATTTGGTTGATTTTTTTTTCAAAAAAAAAAAAAAAAAAAAAAATTATAACCTTTTGAACCTAAAAATTTAAAAAGAAAAGAAACATAAAAAAATTATTATAAGGTAATCGATAAGTTTGTATTAACATCATGTATATTTTTAAAAAAAACCGTTAATAAAAGCGTTTATAAGTTACATTTACCATCATATATATTAAAATATAATAAACAACCCTAAAAACGAATTTTATTTAATTAGAAATTTGATTTTTTTTAAATTTAAATTTCATAAATTTGACGGTTAAAAATATATTTATTTAATCCGGAAGTTGAAGTAGCAAAAAATTTAACTAAAAAAGCGGAAATGAATTTAATTGGTTAGATCATTTTAACACTAAAGCCAATCAAATCTCGGCGTCTGCTTCATCGACTCGATGGTGACTGCATTCAGTATAGATACGGTAGCCGGTTAAAATACATCTCGAGTTGATTATTCATAAAAAAAAAGTTATGATTAAATAAAAATGTCGGTTATAACGTAGTAGGTTTGGAAAAAACGTGTGAATCTATCATTTTAATATAATGATTATCGATATTTATTTGTGTTTTTGTTGATTTTTTTTTTAGCATGTATGAAAAGTGTATATAATTCAATACAAATCAAATTAAATTAATTTTTATAATTTTTTTAATCTTTTAATTTATCATCATAGATTTGTTTTTTCTACAATTATTTTTTCAAGTAAGTTTTTTTCTTTTTTTTTACATCACCATTAACATTTTATTTTTAAATCAATAATTAATTTAATCGATAATATTTCTTAATAATATTTATTTATAATTTATGACTCTCTGTTGCGTTTGTTAATATAAGATAACCTTATATGATGATTGTATTTTTATTATTATTATTATTATTATTATTATTATTAATAATAGAAATGTAATCAATTTTACTTACTATAATTTTTATGATAACAAACAAACAAACAAACAAGCAAACAAAAAACCTTATTGTTTAATTATTTTAAATCACATAAATATGTATAATAACATTATTTTTAATAAGTTACACTAAATTATTTGCAATATTTTTTCCCTTTTTTTTAAAATTTAGCTATCATTAATATATATATTTTGCTTCTTTTATTTTTTTTTTAACATTTCTATCAATTTTAAAAAAGAATTAATAATTTTTTTTTCAATTTGATAAACAAAAAAAATAAAGTAAAATTATATGAATCATAAATGAATGAACAAAAGTCATAAAAATGATACATTTTACAAAACATTTTTATTTCATTCCATTTTTAAAAACATTTTAAAACAAAAAATAATATTTATGTAAATAATTTATGTATGTATACAAAATAGAGAAAAAATCTTTTTTTCTATGATTTTTAGCTCTAATGTCATTGAACACAAAAATTCATGTGTAAAAAATAAAGATGAATAAATAATGTGTAAAACAAAGTCATAAATGTCAATTTGTCATAAGGTTATGTTTAAAAGTATTATTATTCACAATAGAAAAATTATTATTATTATTAACAGACAAACAAACAAAAAGAAAAATTATTAACTCTCATTTAAAAAAAAAAAATCAATTATCAATTTAATTTGTCATCAGTTTTAAAATTTCTACACATTTATTTTTCCCCTCCCCCCCCTTCTCTCCTTCCGCCCCCATTTTAAATCTTTATTAATCTTTAATAATAATAATAATATATGTAATAATAATGATAATATGTATATGTAAAGGAAAATTATTTAAGAATTAAAACGATACTCGAATGTGTATATATGACCTTTAAATTTTCAATAATTTAATTGCGCAAATTGTACAAATCGCGCCAAAAAGATAATTACGATAACAAACAACAACAACGTGTAAACAAACAAACAAACAAACGGATAAAAAATACTATTAAAATAAAACGTAAAAAAAGAGAGAGAAAGACGGGGAGGGGGGATTTACGTTTTATTTTTATTTTTTATTTTTAATTAGGTTCAAGTATTGCTTAATTATGGCAGTTTTTTTTTTTATTTATTTAGAAATTTCACGTGCCAGAATTTGAAATGATTAATAAATAAAAATTCCTAACAACCCTGTGGGGGCTTGGTTGCCCCCAAATTATTGATAATAATGATGAATTACGTAAAGTTTTTAATAAAAAAAAAAAAGATTTTACTCAAATCGTCGATAAAGAGAAGAACCATTAAGGAAAAAACATTTTATTTATTTATTTATTTATTACGATAATTTTCGATTGTGGTAATTGGAGTCCCTTTTCCCCCCTTTTCCTATCCCCCTCCCCTTCACTCCTCCCTCTAATTTCAAAAAGGAAATTATTTTTTTCATTAAAAAAAAAAAAAAAAATGTTTGTCGCCATTCGAAAATTGTATCAAATTAAAAATAATTTTTTTTTTTTTTTAAATTAATGTAGGGGGTCTGGGAGTTTTTTAAAAAACTCCCTATCTGTCTGGCTCCCTAAATATTATTTATTATTTAGGGTCTGAAATAATCTTTCTTTTTTATTAATCCTATTTATTTTTTTTAAACATTTGATAACAACACTTTATTAACAAGAGAGGATCAATTGAGCTTTTTTATGTATCTATAACACGTTAAGAAAAT